GGGAGAAGCCATATAAATGCTTGGAGTGTGGAAAGACCTTTGCTCAAAATTGTTATCTTATTTACCATAAAATGACCCACACAGGGGAGAAGCCATATAAATGCTTGGAGTGTGGAAAGACCTTTGCTCAAAATTGTTATCTTATTTACCATAAAATGACCCACACAGGGGAGAAGCCATATAAATGCATGGAGTGTGGAAAGACCTTTGCTCTGAGCAATAGACTTACTATACACAAAAAGATTCACACAGGGAAAAAGCCATTTAAATGCATAGAGTGTGGAAAGACCTTTTCTCATAGAGGTCATCTTATTTCTCATAAGATGATCCACACAGGGGAGAAACCATATAAATGTATGGAGTGTGGAAAAGCCTTTACTCAAAAAAGTAGCCTTATTTTCCATCAGGTAATCCACACAGGGGAGAAACCATATAAATGCATGGAGTGTGGAAAGACCTTTGCTCTGAGCAATAGACTTACTATACACAAAAAGATTCACACAGGGAAAAAGCCATTTAAATGCATAGAGTGTGGAAAGACCTTTTCTCATAGAGGTCATCTTATTTCTCATAAGATGATCCACACAGGGGAGAAACCATATAAATGTATGGAGTGTGGAAAAGCCTTTACTCAAAAAAGTAGCCTTATTTCCCATCAGGTAATCCACACACAGGAGAAACCATATAAATGCATGGTGTGTGAAAAGACCTTTGCTAAGAGCAATAATCTAAGACTACACACAAGGATCCACACAGGGGAGAAGCCATTTAAATGCATGGAGTGTGGAACAACCTTTACTCAAAAAAGTAGCCTTATTTCCCATCAGGTAATCCACACACAGGAGAAACCATATAAATGCATGGTGTGTGAAAAGACCTTTGCTAAGAGCAATAATCTAAGACTACACACAAGGATCCACACAGGGGAGAAGCCATTTAAATGCATGGAGTGTGGAAAAACCTACACTCAAAAAAGTAGCCTTGTTACCCATCAGGTAATCCACACAGGGGAGAAACCATATAAATGCATGGAGTGTGGAAAGACCTTTGCTAATAGCTATAACCTAAAAATACACACAAGGATCCACATAGGGGAGAAGCCCTTTAAATGCATGGAGTGTGGAAAAACCTTTACTCAAAAAAGTAGTCTTATTTCCCATCAAGTGATCCACACAGGAGAGAAGCTGTATAAATGTATAGAGTGTGGAAAGACTTTTGCTCATAGACGCAATCTTATTTCCCATAAGGTGATCCACACAGGGGAGAAGTCCTTTAAGTGCATGGAGTGTGGAAAAACCTTTACTCAAAAAAAGAATCTTATTTCCCATCAGGTAATACACACAGGGGAGAAACCATATAAATGCATGGAATGTGGGAAGACCTTTGCTAATAGCAATAGCCTAAGAATACACACAAGGATCCACACAGGGGAGAAGCCCTTTAAATGCATGGAGTGTGGAAAAACCTTTACTCAAAAAAGGAGTCTTATTTCCCATCAGGTAATCCACATGGGAGAAACTATATAAATGGATTGTGGAAAAACCTCTACTCAAATAAGTAGCCTTATTTCCCATCAGGTGATCTACCCAGGGGAGAAACCATATAAATTGTATTGTATTGTATTGTATTAAATGCATGGAGTGTGGAAAAACCTTTACTGAAAAAAGGAGTCTTATTTCCCATGAGGTAATCCACGTGGTAGAAACCATATAAATGCATGGAGTGTGGAAAGACTTGTTCACTGTGTTGATCTCAGTAACCACAAAAAGACCCACATGGGAAAATGCATTTAAATATATGGAGTGTGGAAAGACCTTTGCTCGAAGAGTTAATCTTATTTGCCATAAGACGATCCACTTAAAAGAGAAACCATATAAATGTATGGAGTGGAAAGACGTTTGGTTTTGAGCAGTAGACTTACTACCCACAAAAAGATCCACACTGGGGAAAAGACCTTTAAATGCATGGAATGTGAAAAGAGCTTCGCCAAAGAAGTAATCTTATTTCCCATAAGACGATCCACTCAGAAGGGAAACCATTTAATGAACGCAGAGAGATAAAAAAAGATTTATTTTTGAACAAAGACAAACAAACATAAAAAAACACATCTTCCATTACAAATTGTAGGAGTGTTTCAGTTGGTTACAGTACTTCCATGCATCTCTTCCATAGTCGTCATCTGCTTTTCATATCAAATCACATATTTTAAATTCACCTATATTCATGTATATCACTATTATTATATCTCAACCTTAATTTGACTA